GGCGGCGGGGGTCGGCATCCGTTCCTGCTGCAGGAGCCCTTCGGACATAGCGCTTCCTGGGCTGGGGGGGTGCTGGGTTGCGTTTGGCCGCAGGGGCCCAGGAGGCAGATTGGAAAATAAATTGTATTGCTTAGATTAGCCTCACAGCTGGATCCCCAAGTCCCAGCACTGATCCCCGGTTGGGATTTGAGGAGCCAGATGGCTGATTTTTCGGCCGACGGGCGGGTGTGGGATGCTCCCAGGTGTTGCCTGAGTGCCGCGGCTCGCTGGGGTGCCCTGGGGAGCCAGGGGTGGCTTTATGCCCCCTTACTGGCTCCCGGCATCCACCCATGGTGAGTGTCGTCTGAGAGAATGTAAAAGGCAGTGTCTGCAAATGCAGGGAAAGATAGATGTGAAATTTGGCTCCTGTGCAGTGCTTGCAGGAGAAATTGAGAAGCGAGCATTTAAAAATGGCTTTGAAACCCCAGGAAGGGTGCGAGGAGCTGGTGCTTGTCCAGCCTTGCTCCTGGCAGGCCCTGATGCCGGTAGCAGGCCATGCAGGCGTGTGGGCAAGGCCAAACCCAGTGCCACCAGCCATGCCTTCATTTGTGCTGTCCAGCTTTGCCTGGCCCTTGTCGTCGCTTCCCTGTGGAGGCTGCAGAGGCTGCAGGTTAATGCGAGGGGATGTCCGTGCCTAAAACCGAGCGCAGGTGGGAGCGTGTTTGAGAGGAGGGTGCATGGGGCGAAGGCATGTCCTCGGCAGGGAAAGCCCATCCCTGGCTGTCCTAGTGCCTCAGCCCTCTTGCCCATCATCTCCCGATTTACTCTGGGATATACGTGAATATGTAGGATATTGCTAAAGCAACCAGTAAGCAGTAATCTGCTATTTTGGCATCTCCCCTGCTCCCTGCACCCTGTCAGTCTCTTTTCCAGTCACCTCTTTGTTTGGTGACAACCACGACAAAGGATGTGCGTTTCAGGCAGACAGCGCCGGGGTGGTGATTTTTCAACATCTCTTGCAAACTCTTCTTACCTGGCCGGCGGAGCCTGTATTTTAACCAAAGCCACAATTTTCTGTGGCCATCTAGCTGAAGGAAGAGAGCTGGCTCACGTATTAGGGCATCACATGGACGGACAAACCCTTGCAGCTGAGGTTGGGGTCGGATTGGGGCATTGCGTTCTCTGCCCGTCGGGTGTTAAAGCCACGCTGCAGAAGGGCAGGGCGCTGAGCGGCGGGGGCCGTGTTACAGGTGTAGGCGCGGGGGCTCTGCCGGCAGCCGTGCCAGCAGCAGCAGCTCCGGCTCTCCCTGTACGAACGTCTCTGCAGGAGCACAGCGCTGCTCCCCCACCGCGCTCGCTCCAGGGGCCGGCTGCCCTGACCCCTGCGTGCAGCCGGCCCCGTTCCTACGGCGGTTCCCAAAGCGGGAGGTGTGCCATGAGATTTCCTTGAAGAAACAAGCAGTGACAAGAGGGCTGTCGCCTGGGGCCGGGTATGGGGCTGACGGAGAGCCGCCGAGACACTGCAAGCTGCAAATATGAATTCTGCTATTCCCCAGCTTTTCAGTGTGAATTTATTTCAAAGCAGGAGTTTTTCTGGCCTCTTTGAGCCTTCCTGTGGCCCAGATTCACCAAAGGCTTCCAGCTCCTAATTTTCTCTTGCTTTCCAGCAGAATTTGGGAACCCACTTGGAGCCTGGCTGTAGGATTGAACCCGAGCTATAAATACCAAAATCTCTCTCAAAACCCCATCATCAGGGGAGATGCAGTGCTCTGCAGGCAGAGCCGCTGGTGCAGGATCGCGGTGGCTTTGGCAGTGGTGGCAGGGTGCACATGTGCCCCAGGCCCTCCTACCCCACTCAAGAGTGTGCGGGGTGGGAGCTGGATCCTGCTCATCCTGCTGCATCTCAGCAGCATCCCTTGGTGCCTGAAGGGCTTTGGCTGCCTGTCCTGGGCAGCGGGAACCAGGGGAAGGTGGCAGTTCCTACCTCTGGTGCGGAGGGCTCGGTGCAAAATGCAGTCAGGCTGGATGGCAGCGTCTTGGGGCTTGTCTCAGGTTAAGGGTCCAGGGAGCTGGATTTTGTGTGTGTGCCGCCCCCACCCCCTCCACCCCCCCCAGCTCCTTATCCCCTGCTCTGGTCTGCCTGCACAGCCCAATTACTCTGCCTTTGTGTGTGCAACGTGGGAGCTGGGGAGCAATTCCCCATGCTCTTCTGCCAGCCGTGTGTCCGTGCCTGATAAGAGGCCACCAGAGACCGAAGATAAGTTTTCTCTTGGTGCTGGGTCTGCATTTCCTCAATCATCCTCCTCTATCTTTTATTTTCTGTGCTGGCAATAACAGTACGTCGTCTGTGGCTCAGGACAGGTGTTTTGCAAGCAGAGGCTGCTGTCCTTCGAGTTGGATGGCGTTTAAGTAATTGTGAACCATCCATGATTTGTACTGGTAATTATGCCACTTAACAGAGGCTTGTGGGGTGCAACTAGTAAAAACCGAGTTTTAGTGGGTCCTGGGTTTAATGGCTCTAGGCACATTTTTAAGAAAAATCTCTTAACAGGGTTTTGGAAAAAAATCAGGAGCCAGTTAGATTAACCAGGTAAATGAACTATCAGCTCCGTGAGTGTGTTCTTGTGCAGCATTCTGCTGGGACAGAAATGCTGGTTTTCACGGGGTTTGTTGAAAATCACAGTCGTGAGCAGGCAGGCTCTTTGTAATTGCAGTCTGACAGGGAAGAAATGACAAGGACCGCCACCTTCCCTGCCATCTTCGTACAATCATCAGCCTTTGAGTCATGTGCAAAGCAGTCACCAAAATGTTCCATTTTCTCATTTTGCCTTGTCTATTATAATTATTAGCCATTCATCACTGATGTTGTATGTACTGGCAAGCTCTTCAGATGGTGTCTCGTGCGTGCCTTTCAAACCTAGCCAGGCAAAAACACATCCAGTGACAACATGTGACACGCTAACGGGAGCAAACAGCTATTTTTGTGAGGCAGCGATGTGGTAATTTTCAAGGCATATTGAGAGGATAATAGGGAATGTTGGAATTCATTATTCTGCGTTCAGTGTAATTACTCTGATTTTACTGAGTTTGGAATGAGAAAGAAGAGAAATCCTGCCTTCTCCAAGAAATGTATTTATTGCTGTTTGCTTTGTTTCGTACCTTGAAAGCACTTCTTTCTCTATAGAAATCCGGAGGTAAATACACTGTTCAGCACTGAATAGTTTAATTCAGAGCCATCAGCCTTTTGATAACATTTTCCATCTTATGCAGGGCACCCTAGATATTTTAATCAACTTTCAACTGGATTGGACATGGTTGGATTGGCAGCAGACTGGCTGACATCAGCAGCAAATACTAATATGTAAGTAGCAGATTTTTTCCTTAATGAAATTTAATACAATTTTACAGTTATACTCGAAAATGTTAGCTGCGGTAGATGAATGAGAGAAAGAATACTTTTATGTTAAGGTTGCTGGAAAAAACAATTGTCTGCTTTTTAAATGGCTGCTACAGCTATTTACATGAAGACTTTGAACATTGTAGGCTGTCTTCTGTAAAATTTCGTCATATTAATATGATGTCAGTTTTGCTACCCCCCAAAAAAATATACAGGAAAAAAAAAACTTTATCGTTTTTGCATGCGTAAGTATGTAAAATGAAAGGTGTGCTAAGTGAACAGTTGCATTCCTGTAGAGGGGTTATGTACAATCCATACTCAGAGCAGCTGGAGACGTTGCTTGCTGTAAGAAAGAGGCGCAGAATTTAAAGTGTGGGGTTTTTTTTTTCCACTTTGGGACTAGGAAGCATTTTTGCACACTTGCTTAACTTCATGCACTGTCTTGTCGTCACGAATAGGACTGCTGACATACATGCTTCTAGGCATGCACGCAGGTTTTTGAAAGGCAAAGGTCTGGCGCTGCCCAGCAGCTCTTAAATACAGGGCAAAGCCTTGAGCCTGGAAGAGGTGGGCAAGATGGTTTTTTTTCCACTTTGGGACTAGGAAGCATTTTTGCACACTTGCTTAACTTCATGCACTGTCTTGTCGTCACGAATAGGACTGCTGACATACATGCTTCTAGGCATGCACGCAGGTTTTTGAAAGGCAAAGGTCTGGCGCTGCCCAGCAGCTCTTAAATACAGGGCAAAGCCTTGAGCCTGGAAGAGGTGGGCAAGATTTGTTTCACTGAAATGGGTGGAAATGGAGTCTCAAGCGCTCTCAGCATTTCTGTTTCTAGGCATTTAACATCAAATCAGAAGGAAGATTATCAAAAGTACTGTAAAACAGAACTCCACCCAGTGCAAGATACAGTGTGTTGTGGCTATAATGTAATGTAATATTGGAAAAAGATGTGTTAGTGCTGTAGATGAAAGCATTAAATATGGACATTACTACATTTCAGGTTCACCTATGAAATTGCTCCAGTGTTTGTACTTTTGGAATATGTCACACTAAGGAAAATGAGAGAGATGGTTGGCTGGCCAGGGGGCTGTGGCGATGGGATATTTTCACCTGGTACATGATATTTCAAGCTTTCTTTATTTTTCAGACTATGCTATATGACATCCCCTGTAGTTAAAGAGTAAACGTAATTAAATATGCATGTTTGAGAGGACACTTGCTGATAACCACCAGTGGCCTCTTTGAGATAAAGTATTGCATGTTTATGAATTTTAGGGATGTGATTATGAGGGTCTGTTTGAGCAAATTGCACGGCATTCTGAGCAGCTGTAATGGCACATGGGAAACATAATCAGAAGAGACATTTGCCTTGCAGTTTTGCTTTGCCCCCACTTTTTATGGATACATGAAATAGAAAGACTATTGAAATAGTAATGGAGGGAAGAAACACAACAATGCTCTCCATCACCGCGGGGGAAATTGGAGCAGAGAGGGAAAGATGTAGCATCCCTTTGAATAATTTTAGTGGAGTCAATAGATCCTGCCAACATGACAGCACACAGCCTTCCATGTGTGAGCGGGCCTGTTGGGCTCAGTCAGGGTCCTTGGGTGGCTAGTTAATCTGGGTGCTTAAAGGCTCAGAAACCTGGCTCCTTCAGGGCAAGTCACTAAGGCAAAAAATGAGTGTGATTTACTGTAGGCAAATCATTGACTCTGACAAACACTACATTGTTAAGACTTTTTTTTTTTATTATTGTAATCATTCCACGTAGCCTTTTGATTTATACTCTGTCCCCTCCTATCTTACTCTGGAATTTCACTGCTAAAAATTTTGGCCTATCTATATCACCAAATTGCAAAAACTGGAAAGAATTTACATTAGGCATAGCATCTTGGCTTGTCAAAAGAGAACAGATTGATAGCTGGTGGGGAAGGAGCCCTTCTGGAAAGAAATTTCATTGACCTAATAGAGAGGGAAGGACTGTTTGGACTATTGAGCAAAGGAAAGGCCTCAGTGACAACAGCCTAGGATGTTCAGCTCTCTGAGGGCATGAATGGTAAAGTTCATGCTGTGCAGGAGATCAGGCAAGGCTCATCTTCAACTTCTGAATGCACACGTGGGAAGCGGTGCAGGAGTTTTGTCCTGGGCCTTTCCACAGAGGTGGAGAGAAAGATGAGAAGAATTTATATTACTTCTTATTTAAAAAGCACTGAGCACAAAAGCTCTGACAGCTTTTACTATAGTGCTTAGAGGTCCTGACCAAAACCGTGGCCTCCATCACACAGAGCAGCAGCATCACGAGCCCAGGACCTAAGCCAAAGATTTCGGAAACTCGACAGGGGTTGGTTACTGTCCAGTCCCTGGCCTGGCTCAGCACAGCTGGTCTGCAGTTCCTCGCCTTGCAGGCTTGAGCTGCAGTAGCCCCACCAGGCTGGTCAGGGACCCAAGAGGGGAGAGAAGAGCAGGAGCAATGCTGCTCAGCAGACGTGGCGGGCAGAGGCTGGGCACCGGCGGCAGGCAGGGGTGAGAGGCTCAGCGCATGCACCGGATCTGCCCAAGTCTGGCAAATTGTGCTTGAGACAGCATGAGTCAGGGAAGATGAGCGCCTCAGGAGGAGCTGCCATCCCTTTGGGGTCAGCGAGAGGTCCTGCCTGACCTGGGGGGGCCAGGGTGTTGCTGCCTGGCAGATGCTGGAGCTTGCTTCACCTGGCTGGAACCTGCGTGGGGACAGGCTCTCTGGCAGGCGTGTACCTGTGCTGGCCACGGGCAGTGCTGCCCCCTCTCATCCTTTCTTTCTCTGCAATTTCTGATTTGCGCACAGTGTATCTTTCTAATTCACTCTTCTTCAGGCAGCAATGCCCCCTGTGCAGGTTCTGCTTTTTTAAGCAATAATCAAAATCAGCTCTATGTTGTCTTCTTGTTTCAAACCGTCATGGCTTCCACTGAAGACCTGACTGTTGCGAAGAAAAGGTTCTCACTCTTTGCATTCTCTGGAATGAAATATACAGTATCGATACATGCAAAGCATAAAGGCCTGATTAGGTTCTCCAAATTCTGTAGGTGTGTTTTGTTGCCTGCAATTAACTGTGGGTGTAAACACAGCTGCAAAATTAAAGGCAGAATTCAGGCTTATTAATAAGCTTAAAGTTAAATGGTTAGGTAATAAGTACTAATAGGAAAGCCTGGTATTGAAGAAACTTAACATTTCTGTCTTGATTCTTTTCACACTGAGCCAATGAGTTTGGACAAGATAGGCCAAATTTCTTCAACTTGGATACCTTAGTTCAGTCACCTAAATCATCAACTGCAGCCATTACATGACATCTGCATTTTTTAGGGGCAGGTACCCAAGCATTTCCTCTTAATCTCTCCATTTCTTGTTTTGTTGTTTGTGAAGAGGAGTGTAGAAATATGTTCGTACATCTCAAGATAGTTGAAAGGGGAAGAAAAAGCCTGATTTGTACTGACCCCCATGCCAGCGGTGCCATCCCTCTGTGGCATTTTCCCTTGGATTCAGAGGAGGACCAGTGGTAAAGCCCAGAGCAGAGGCAGCCTCACTGCAAGAGCAGAGCTAGGACACTGATTACAAATGAAGGGCACAGTTTCTGTGGACTGTGGAACAGTGTATATATCTCCAGGGGGATAAATACAAATCTTACAAAAGTCACAACGATGTTAAATTTGCCAACACATATACCCTGCTGGTGTAACATGGTGTAACGTTGCTGCTTGCAGCAGAGCTACTGTGACTTGCTTAAAGGGTAGGGTTTATCTTACCTCACTTTGGCCGTCCAAACATTGGGTGTCTGCCCTGGGCTAGTTACAGCAGCTCCCGTATATTCAAGGGAGAGGGGTGGATGCATTTGCAGGGCAAGTCATCGCACCTACCACAAGCAGCTACCTTAGGATGAACTGAACCATCTTCTAGAATTGCCTGTCTTATGCTCTTCACTCCATTTTTAGATGGATGAAGGTTGGGTTAGTTGAACTCTACCTCAGCTGCACCCTGACCTGTTCATTTAAAAGGCAAAAACCATGATCAATATACACCTTTGCTTTATATAAATATATGTGCATAAACATCGATATATAATCAATCCATATATATATATATATGTAGTATATATACAGGATAGAAGTGATGGATTTTGTGCATACGTGTCTGTGTGTGTGTGTATTTATGTGCGTACGTATGTAAAAGTCCTCAGACCCTGCCTCGGGTTCTGCATTATATTCCCATAGTGCTCATGCAGCATTAATGTGTGACCAAACATCGTTCCACTGTAGCCACAGAGGCTCAGTTTGTAAAAATTTCAAAAAGGAAGAACGAAGTGCTCATTTTTAACTTATGCACTGACAATTAAAATATAGGAACAGAATACTGTAGAGCTGTCATCTGATACCCATCTTGAAGCGGGTAAAATACCCATCTTGAAATGGGTATTTTAGGTCAATGCTTGCCAGTGATTTTAAGGCTAGTGTTAGGGACATGTAACCTTTTCCCCTTGCTCCCATCGGAGGACAAATAAAAAGAAGATTTGTTAGAATGACCCTTTTTCTTTTCTCTTCCCTCTCCCCACTCCAGTTATCCACAAGATAAGGTCTGTGTGGGTTTGCTCAGAGCTGGGGCATGAAATGCCACCCTGATTTGGGACTGGGGGGGAGAGCACAGTTTAGGTTGCACTTGGAAGCCACTTAGCAAGTTGCCTTGTGGTGGCATCTGCTTGGGAGGTGGAACAGAGTGGGGATCATGTGTTGATGGCATATGGCAAGATAAGATTGGGGACTAAAGGAGAAATGGTAACAGAAACGAGGATGAAAGGAAACCCCCATCATTTTTTGTAGCAGTACTCTTTGCATAAGTTGTTATTTGGGTGTAGTAGATCCTGTTATTACACAACCCAGCTGTGAGGAGCATCAGGAAGAAGAATCTGCCATTAGGCAGAAACATTAACATTAGAGTTAGAAAGACTGTAGCAAGACTTGTCGTTTGTTCTGCAATAATATTACAATGCATAGAAAAAGTAACAGTATATTACTGTGGACTCCAGGTGGTGCCATATCTAACATGTATGCTATGTTGATTGCACGTTTCAAGATGTTCCCAGAAGTTAAAGAAAAAGGAATGGCAGCTATTCCCAGACTGGTTGCCTTCACATCAGAACATGTATGTGTTTCTGGGTTTTTCCTATCTGTTACATCTGCTTGTATGAATTTATGATGAAGAAAATAGCTGGGTGGGAACTTGTAGCCAACTGTCTTCATTTCTGTTATTCCTTCTCTGGGAATAAAAACCGGGAAGGGGCTGGCTTTTTGATACATAGAGGGATGAACTGTGTGGTTATCTGTGGCTGAAACCCAAGGAGAGCATGTTCTACAAACCAAAGCCTTTTTTTTTTTTTTTGCTCTCACTTGTGTCTGTATAAATGTCGATATGAATGGTAAGGACCACATCAAGTGATGAGAGCTCATCATCGGGCTTCAGCACTTTCTGCCAGGAATGTCTTTTGTTCGGGTCGTTCTAGGGGAACAGAAAATCACTGTGAGTCAGAATGTTTCTAGCTGAAACCGCTCCTGCTGTTATTTAATGAGAAGGTGATAACACAGATGAAGACAGCAGTATGGAAATGCTGCGTGTTTATACAGCAGCTGCGGTATATGGTGGGGAGCTGGGCTTTGCTGTGTTTTTCTCTCTGAGCAAAAGCTTCAGCACACTGGGGTTTGTCACAGGCACCGACGGGACCCAGCAGTGCAAGAGGGGAGGGGAGGTGGGCACAGGAAAAATCCGAGTGGTCCGCATGGGAGAAACACAGAGGTTTTTGCTCTTTGAACAACGATACAGAAATCATATTTCTGTCTGTATTGTGGGGGTTGTTTGGGGTTTATGGCCATTGAAAGCTCCTTGCAGCTTATCGTGGAGAATGTGTGCGCAGGAGCAAGGGGAAAGGGAAGGGTTATACCCAGGAGGGGCTGTGAGCTCTCTTCAGGCTTCGTGGTCCCCTTCTCAATGTCCCTCCAGCCATGTGGGCTTGGCCAGGCAGGACTCTTTCCATGTTAGGTGACAACATCCTCCTGGCTACCTTTTTTGTATTATCGGAGAACGTGTTTCCATTCTGTATGAGTGTGAAGAGCAAAGTGTCCTAAAAACCGATCAGAAATGTCTGGGAGGAAATCCCTCTGAGGATGCCTTTGATGGCAGTAGGATGAGATGTGATACACAGCTGTGGGCTCCACATTGCAGAATAATTGTCCCCAAAACAGTCAAAGAGAAGGATATTCTACAAGTGAGTAGCAACTCTTCAAAGCTGGCTGTACAGCTAGATGCATGTATTATTCATATGGAAGTTAACAGAAGTAGTAAGTCTTGCAAATAAGGTTCAGCGTGATTATTTAAAATAACAGACCCTATTAATCATTAAAGAATTTCATTGTATTCATAGCGATGGAATGTTAAACAATGAACCGAATTGTGCTATCAGTCTCCAAATAATGAAATGAGCTTTAATAATTGTGTTTTCATGCCAGAGAAGCAGCAGTTGCCTTAGCAAATTAAACATTCCAAACCCAAATATACTAGTGAATCCATAGAACAGCATCTGAAATCTGTTACATTTTAAAAGTATTTTGGAATTGCAGTTTTGTCGCTTCCTCAATCGAGGTTTTTTATAAAGCATGTAATGGCACATCTTCTAGGGAAGTTTAGAAGCCACACTAAGTGAAGACAGGATCCTTTAACCCTTAATTGCCCAAAGGATGTGGGGTCAGGGTTTAACCCTCAAACTAGCAGACACTGTTTCAGGAATTGCAGAGGCCCAAGAGTACGATCCCCTTTTTAGATAGGAAATGTCCTGCAGAACCTGGATAGATACTAAGATACGAGAATGTAATTTGTCTCATTTATCACATCATGGTGATCTTCTGCTTCCTTTGAGACTTCCCAGCCTGATTGTGGTTTCTCTCTGCCACAGTTGGGTGCTCTTGTAAGACGATGGCCATGGAACAAGCAGTCTGCTAACAGGACACTATCATTTCCCCATGCTCTGCACGTGTGGTGTGGTAGTAAACAAAGGTTAAAGTTACTTTATGTGTTTAGAAACACTGAGATTTTTGCCTCAAGATTTTCAGACAGAAGTAAAGATTCCAATATTCAGCAATTCTCAGACAAGAATATCAGCATCACAGACTGGATTCCATTTTCATTTCAACTAATCTAGAGCTTCCGTTACTATGAATGAATGAAGTTACGTCACAGTTGCCACCAGTATTGCTGTAATCAGAATCTGGCCTCAGTTTGATGCCGTGATAGGTTCAGCTGCCAGTGGGGGAACAGGGAAGGAAGGAGTAATTTACAGCTCCTAAGTAATTCCCTTCCTAATTTAGGAGTGCGTCATGTTCCTAAATTAGGAGCCTCACTCTGCACAATCAGTGAAGAGAGGCACCTCTGGAGGGAAACTCAGAGCATCCAAATTAGGAACCTAAATATTTCTTAATTTAGATGTTCTAAATCACCTTCAGGAGGGGTTCACCTACTTCTGTGTATTGACCATACACAGAGATCAGCCTTCCAACATGTGCAACCTACATTAGGTACCTAAAATAGGTTATGTGACTATTCCAACTGTTCAGGTTCTCAGTAAGCAGATCCTCCCCCAGCTGTTCAGTAGGACCGTGACTTACATCTCACTCTGCTCCTGTTTATTTCTGTTTCACCAGTGATGGGAAGTATGCCATAACTGCTTAGATCAGCCTTAGCCCAGGTATAATTTCACTGAGATGCTCTTGCTTAGGACTTAATTCAATCCTCTGTATTCACTAGTGCATTATCAGTGGTTCTTTCATCTGCACTGGTGCAGGAGCAGAGCGATGTCCTTCAGGGCAGCTGTTCTGGACTGCATGTGATGCAGGACACCTTGACTCAGAGGGGTAAAAGTGATGGATGCCAGTTGTAAAAAACCTATTTTAGTCTATCATTTCAAACACAATGACAAATCTAAGATCAGATTGTGTCCTGTGTCCCAGTGCATCAGCTTCAGGCTGCTGTGAGTGTTCAGCTGAGCACATCCCTTTTTCCGTGTGGAGAAAGCAGCTGAAAGGGAGAACTGCCTTCTCAGAATATTTGCATTGATCTATTTGTCTATAAGGCAATTCCTGTTGAATTTTAACCCGTTCCCTGTAGTGATTTTTACCTGGCCAACTAGCACTCTCTTAGACAGCATCCAGCACCAGCTGGGAATAGCATGGAGCAGGGGTCACCGCTAGCAGGCAAAAAGGACAAAGTCATTTTACTCTGAGGAGGAAAGGGGTACAGCGGGGGAATTTTATCTGCAGAGAACTAGTTGGGTTCAGGTTACAAAAACAGTCCTTGGCCTTTTTATTTGATAGAAGTAGCTGAAGAGACTTGCAGCTTTTACATGGAATCAGTGTTTAATTGGGGGCTATACAGACTCGATCCACAGTTCCGGGAATGAAAAAAAGCTCGGCATAATTGGGAAGACATAGAGATTTCTTCACATCTGCTGTCTCCAACCCAGCAAGACTGTGCTCATGTAGTCCTTTCCTAATTTCATGTAGTCCTTTCCTAGCTTTCCTAATTTCACACCCTCTCTAGCAGCCGTTACAAGGAGGAATGCCTTGTCAGGTGCTCACCAGGGAAATAGCAATACAAGTCCTGTCTTAGTTTTGGAAGAGAAGCCACAGAGTATGAGCTGGCAGTTAGAGAGCCAGGGGAGCACAGAGAGGGTGTCTCTGCCTCTGGCATCCCTCCATCCGCACTGCTCGCAGGGTGGAATGGCTCCTGCCCGAGGCTTCACTGGGAGCGTGGCCCCGGCAGCCACCAACATGAAGGGAGGGTCTGTTGGCAGCTCAGGTGTAAGGTGGTGTCGTGGTTTAACCCCAGCCAGTAACTAAGCATCACCCAGCCACTCAATCACTCCCCTATGGTGGGATGGGGGAGAGAATCAGAAAGGTAAAAGTGAGAAAACTCCTGGGTTGAGATAAAGACAATTTAATAGGTAAAGCAAAAACCACCCATGCAAGCAAAACAAAACAAGGAATTCATTCCCTAATTCCCACAGGCAGGCAGGTGTTCAGCCATCTCCAGGAAAGCAGGGCTCCATCACACATAACAGTGACTTGGGAAGACAAACGCCATAGCTCCGAACATCTCCCCCATCGTTCTTCTTCCCCCTGTTTATATACCGAGTAGGACATTATATGGTATGGAGTAGCCCTGGGGCGAGTTGGGGTCAACTGTCCTGGCTGTGCCCCCTCCCAGCTTCTTGTGCCCCTGGCAGAGCTGAGAAGTCCTTGGCCAGTCTTAGCAACAACTAAAACATCAGTGAGTTAGCTCCATTCTTCTAGTACTAAATCCAAACCACAGCACTGTACCAGCCACTAGGAAGAAAATTAACTCTATCCCAGCTGAAAACAGGACAGGTGTCAGTATTGTAGACAGCCAGACATACTCAGAGGGACCTCATTCTCTGGAGGACATCCGTGAGAGGTGCCTCGTCTGCAGTGGTAGGGGAGCACCCTCATGGCCATAGTGTGTGCAGCATCCACACATCAGTTAGATCAGAGGAGGCAGTTTGCCGTAAATCACCACTTCAGCTTCTTGCACGCTGATTTCCCCTCATGGACAAGCCCCATTACTTGCAGGGAATACAGCAAACTACAGCAGTAGCTGTGGGAGAAGAGTGGCTTTGGAGAAGCTTTTGTCTGAACAGTTTCTGAAATCTAAAACAGAGGTTCTTGGCTCTGAGACAGAAGGCAATTAAAAAATTCTGTCTCAGAGCAGGCAGCTCGACAGACCTCCATTTCACACAGCCTATGGAAGATGTTGGTTTGGTTTCGTGCAGAATGAAAAGCTGGTCTCCAGGCCCACCACCTCATGGCATGTAACGTTGCCCTCTAGCCAGGCAGTTTCCAGGACTGGCACCTGCAAGAAGCTGTCCAAGAGATGACCTGTGTGATGGGACTTTCAGGGAAAGATTTGGGGAGCCTGGAGATCATGTTTTCCATTGGGTGGCATAAATTATGAAGCCGTAAGTTATACTTCTGAGTATACAGAGTGTTTTCATTTCTACCTAAGGAAACTAAAAATCAAACTCATGGATTCACACATTCTTTCTTTGCATTACCCAGTGCATAATAACTAGAAAAGTATTG